TAAGATGCAAAATATGTTCCTTGACCGCAAAATTTTTCCTGAGAATCGTTACGGAGTCGATAGCTTATTCAATCCAGAAGGTGGTATTGATTATCACGCTGTATGTCCGATGTGTAATGTTTATATTGGAACATTTAGTAAAAAACAGCGGACAATTCATTGCGAAGTTTGCGATGAATATATAAACTTGAAAGATCCTTCGTTCACCGATTATTTCGTGATTATCGATGTGGTAAGTAAGATAAGAAATCTAATCGAAGCAAATAGCAATTTCTATATTGATATTGTAACTCGTCGAAACAAAGAACCTACTAACAATTTTACGGATATTTGCGACGGTCAAAAATATAAAAAATTTGTAGCATCGTTGCCAATCAATCGTAAAGAATCTTATATCAGTGTTACGTTTAACAGCGATGGATCGCCAACTTTTAAAAGTTCAAAATATTCTATCTGGCCAATACAAATTGTTGTAAATGAAGTACCGCAAGATATTCGTTCTACGCAAAGCATAACTTGTGCTTTATGGTTTGGACGTGACAAGCCAAACATGACATATTTTCTCCGTCCCTTTGTTGATTATATTAACAATCTTACGAGAAACGGTATCACAAGTCAAATACAAAATGGAAAAAGGAATCTTTATGTTTACGCATTATGTTGTTGTGTGGATGCTGTCGCACGGGCACCTATGCAGGGTACCGTTCAATTTAATGGTTATTATGGCTGTAATTGGTGTTTGCATCCAGGTGTACGTATTCGCCATGATACTGGATACGCTATGAAGTATCCGATAATGGATGAACATCCTGAAAAGAGAACAGCAAATAACACATTTCAACTAATGCAAAGATTAGTTGATATGAATGCACCTATTCTTGGTATCAAAAACGTAACTAGTTTGTTACTTTTGAATAATTTCGACATCATTGATGGGTTCGTTCCAGATCCACTTCACTGCGTTGATGCAGGTATAGGTAAACAATTTTGCAATTATTGGATGGCTTCATCTGGTGTGCTATACTCGGTGCCGAAGAGTATAATAAAAAAAATTGATCGATTCATATAAAACTTCAAAGTTCCTACACAACTTGTACGATTGTCGCGTTCCGTAAATGAACGAGCCTATTGGAAAGCGGCAGAATGGTCCAATTGGATCCTTTTTTATAGCTTACCAATCTTAAAATATATATCACAAGAAATTCCGCATTTTGATGTGTATGTGAATCACTGGTCTCTGTTTGTTGAAGCATATCACATATTATTAAAAAATGGATTACAAATAACGGAGTTGCAAAGAGCTCATTTACTGTTGAAAGAATTTGTATTCAAAGTCCAAGTTTTGTATGGTAAAGACGCAATGACGTTTAACGTCCATCAATTGCTACACTTAACTCAAAGTGTTGCTGATTGGGGCTTGTTGTATGCGCATAGTGGTTATGTATTTGAATCCGGTAACGGGAAATTAAAACGAACTATTTATGCAGCCAAAGGTGTATTGAGTCAGGTATGTCGACATGTATGTTTTGAAGAAAGTATAATATTATTACAAAAACATGTTGAAACTGCTGAAGATTCAGCGTGTTTAGAGTATGTGAGATATTTAGAAAAAGGATTTGTTCAAAAAACTGTTAAGTTTACTTACAGGTATTTTGGAAGAACAGTTGTCAATGAAAATTATAACGAACAGTTTCAGTTACCGATAAATCAAGTGAGAGCCTACGTAAAACTGGTTAAGGATGGATGTTTATTTAGGACATGTGAAAAATTATTGTACAGATCAGACAATGCTTTTGCTATGCTGAAAAGTGGCTGTTTTATACAGATTCAGCAGTTCCTTATCAATTTTGAAGACGGAAAAGAGTACACTGTGTACAAAAGAGTAGAAGTAAGTAATGATCTACTAAATAACGAGTTCAACTGCATAAAACCAGTTCTTGGAATGAGCTTAGATATTGATATAACCGAAACCAAAAATATCGATAAACTATGCGTATATTTGAGTATTGACTACAATGATTACATTTCATGTGTCCCTAATATGTATTGGAAATAAAATATGTATTTGCAGCGTTTGTACTTTCTATTAAGGGGATGCCATAACAAAATTTGTACTCAGTAGTTTTCGTTAAAATTAATTGTATCACATGTGTGCTAATTATTAGCAATTATTTTCAAACTATTGAAAGCTCTGAAATCCATAAAAAAATTGCAAGGATGCTAGAAATTAGTTTGAGATATTTTACATTGATTCTTAATCTTAAAATCTTGTACTTCATCTTGTAGTTCATTGTTTTACCCTTGTTTTTATTGAATACGTATTAAACTTGATTTGTCACTAAAACGGTGAGTACATTTAAAATGATTTATCTATCCTCCATTCCCATCTCGACAGAACAAGAGACCGCCAGAACGAGAGAAGCTTTGCTGTGAATAGCCCACGTCTGACACCAACCAGGTAGGCCTAAATGTAAGAGAAAGATACACTACCGCTTTAGCAACCTTTTCGCTCTCATTTTCTTAACCATCCCACGCAATAATTAGCCGTGTGATTGATAGACTCTAAAAAATCCATCTAAATCGACCAAGAAATCCACCTAGATTCTGCTTGAAAATCCATAGGATTGTATAACAACCTACCTGGATTCTGATGAAAATCCAGGTTGATTGTCCAAGAAATCCATTTTGAATCTGTAAAAAAATCCACCTGGATTTGCTGAAAAATCCATCTGGATTTGACGAGGAATCCATCTGGATTTGACGAGAAATCTATCTGGATTGGCCGAGAAATCCACCTGGATTTGCCGAGAAATCCATCTAGATTTGACGAGAAATCCATCTAGATTTGTAGAGGAATCCACCTGGATTTGCAGAGGAATCCACCTGGAATTGCAGAGGAATCCACCTGGATTTGCCGAGAAATCCATCTGGATTTGACGAAAAATCCATCTGAATTTGACGAGAAATCCATCTAGATTTGTAGAGGAATCCACCTGGATTTGCAGAGGAATCCACCTGGATTTTCCGAGAAATCCATCTGGATTTGACGAGGAATCCATCTGGATTTGACGAGAAATCTATCTGGATTGGCCGAGAAATCCACCTGGATTTGCCGAAAAATCTATCTGGATTTGACGAGAAATCCATCTGGATTTAACGAGGAATCCTCCTGGATTTGCCGAAAATTCCATTTGGATTTAACGAGAAATCCATCTGGATTTGCCGAGAAAACCACCTGGAATTGCAGAGGAATCCACCTGGATTTGCCGAGAAATCCATCTGGATTTGACGAAAAATCCATCTGAATTTGACGAGAAATCCATCTAGATTTGTAGAGGAATCCACCTGGATTTGCAGAGGAATCCACCTGGATTTTCCGAGAAATCCATCTGGATTTGACGAGGAATCCATCTGGATTTGACGAGAAATCTATCTGGATTGGCCGAGAAATCCACCTGGATTTGCCGAAAAATCTATCTGGATTTGACGAGAAATCCATCTGGATTTAACGAGGAATCCTCCTGGATTTGCCGAAAATTCCATTTGGATTTAACGAGAAATCCATCTGGATTTGCCGAGAAAACCACCTGGATTTCCAGAGAAATCCATCCTGCATTTGCTGAGAAATCCATCCTGGATTCTAGCTGGATATCCATCCTGGAAATCCAGAAAAAATCCATATGGAATCCATAGCATTCCAGCCGGATATCCCGCTGGATTTCCAGCTGGATTTTTTCAGTAGGGAAACTATGAGTTAAAATGATTTGATAATTTTATATTACAGCAATATGACAGTGATATACAAAAGCAATTATTAACAGACAAAATGGATAAATTTGTTGAATCACAAAGCTTATCATTGGATAACGATGGAAAAGTTGATAGTAATAATTCACATGATAGTATTAAGCTATTGAAGGTTCAAAATTCAGATGACAATAAAGACTTAATTGAAAGTCGCTTGAAGAAACAGATTGAAAAATTGGAGAATGACAATTTAGCTTTACAACATGAAAATACGAAATTCAAAAACAGGATAGAAATATTACAATCTCGATTAGAAACATACCGTCTAATTAATGAGAAATTGCAATTTTAAATTTATAACCATGAACAAAAGTTTAAAGATAATGAAGGAGTAGCATAGGAAGATTCAAGATCTAGAAAAAAGGTAATAATTTTTTAAAAATTAATTATAAAATTATACAGTACGTTCTCATTTTTGTCTCTCTCTTCGTCCTAGAGCTTTTATCTATTTTATCATTCAAACTATAGTCCAGAATTTTGTTTTGATAAATAATGCTATTTATCGAATCCGTAATCTAACACTATGATATATTACATATAATTCACCATAGCTAGAAACGTATTTGCCTTGTAAAAATGATCCATCGGTTATTATTAAAGTCAATGAAACATTAATGAATTTTAATCAGTTTTAATGTAATGGTTCAGTTTCAATTGGCAAGTCAATTAAAATTAAATCAGTTTTAATTATCTTTAATCGAAATCACAATCAATATTAAAATTTACTATTGATTTCAATACTATTTAATTATTTTTAATAATATTTCCAATAATGAAAAACTTAATTACTTTTTATTTAATATTTCTTTATGTACATTAATAATATTTAATGGAACTCTACATCTAATGTAACAACTTTAAATATTTTCGAATAGATACTTATAAATGTAATTTTCAGTCACTTTTTATCCAATATTTTTGAATATTTTTTATAAATCTTATCATGGTTATTATTTGGTTGAAAAAGAGATGGAATTTAAAAAAATTATCTCAAAATATATTTTATTATACTTATAGTTGACTTCCGGTTAAAAGCTCAGACGGGAAAGACGTGTCTGGTGTAGAACAGCAATAAAGTTAGTGATATCAAAATAAAAGAGAGAATAATCAATTGAAAAGTGGATAGATCGAGTATAAAGGTAGGCTACGAAGAAGGGATAAAGAAGTGAAAGATAAGGGCGTGTAAGAAGAAAATGAGTGAAAGTAAGAAGAGCAGCAAAAGTGCGGTTATGGCGGCAATGAGCAGGAAGGAAGAGACGAAGAGCGGAGAGCAAGAATGGACAAAGAAGGGACGGGGCAGAACAATGAAAGGAAAAAATGAGAAGAAGGAAAATGGTGGAGAAAAAGATATAAGAAAGTTCATGCAAAAGGAAGAAGAAAACAAGGAAATAGGATTCGCAAAAAGTGTAAAATTAGTACACACACCACCGAGGAAATTAGATGAGGGGACGTGCGGTAAAGTTGAGAAAAATCGCAGCAAAATAATTGAGCAGATGGAGGAAACAAAAGACGTCGACGACAAGGTAACAAAGGAAATTAATCAAGATGAAACGAGGAATGTGAAGGATGTTGAAGAAAAACAAGAAGAGATAAACAAAAGAGCAGAAGACAAAAGTAGCGAAAGTCAAGAAGAGGAAGCGGTACAGCGAGCAGACGAAGACCAACAAGCGTAGAGGGAGAGAAAGAACTGGAAAGAAATAAGCCAGATGCGATGAAAAACTCAGAATACGAGTTCGAGATGAGAGAGAGGAGAGATAGGAAGAATAATGTGTTTATCAGAGGAGTGAGGACGTCGGGAAGAAGATGGAAGGAAGAAGCAGAAAAAATAATAATGGGAATGATAAGAAAACAGTTTGGAATAAGAAGGATCCGGCCAATGAGAGGAGGAATACTTTTGACATTTGAAAATTTTAGAGAAAAAATGGCGTTTATAGAACAAGAGGAGGTTTTTGAAAAAATAGGAATAAGCTTGGAAGAAGATAGAACATGCAGAGAAATAGAAGTGCAAAAATGGATTGGGCTGGTAGCAGAGCAAGAAAGGAAAAAACAAAAACAAGTGCAAGTGGGCTACTTAAAAATAAAAATCAACGGAAAAATGAGCTTATGGGACGAGAGAAGATGAGGTCTCGGAGAGGCAAAGGACAGAATTTTTTTTTCGGGGCAGAAGACAAGAAGAGGAGCAGCGAGAATGGAGAGGGACACCACGGCGGACAAACACGGAACATTTCTACGATAGGTTTCGGAACTAGTGAAGAAGCAACAGTTGAGGAAGAAGAAAGTGACAATTGGGAGATCCAGGACATATCAACAGAAGGGGTAAGAAGAGAAACAACGACGAGCAGAGGGACCGGCGAACATAGAAGGACAGGTCATAAATACGTATCATGGAATGTAGCAGGGAGTAAAAATATATTAAAATGCAAAGATTTCTTAAATAAGTTTGACATTATTTTATTACAGGAGACATGGGTAGAAAAAAATTAAGAAACAAATTTAATTAAAAAACTGCACAAAAAATATAGATGGGAAATGAAGGCAGCAATCAAAAAGAAAACGAGGGGGAGAGCTAGTGGGGGGTTATAATAGGGATTAGGAGAGAGATAGGTAAAAACGCGGAGATAGAAGAATGGGAATATGGAATAATAATAAGGAATATCTGGATGGGGAAAGAAAAAATTGATATTATAACGATTTACAACAACGCGAAAACGAGCAGAATGATCAGCAAACTGAAAGAGGTAATAGAGATAAGCTTAGTTGAAGGGAAGAAATTTATTACAGCAGGAGACTTCAATGTAAGGGTGGGAAGCGAACAGATAAACAGGGACAGTAGGAGGAATTCGGAGGATAAAAAAACGACGCGGGAGGGATTAAAATTAATAGAAAGTATGAAATATTGTAACGCGGAAATAAAAAACGGATGTAGCAAAGAAGACGAAAAGGGGAGAATTACTTTTATTGGAGATACGGGCGCATCGGTCCTAGATTTGATAATAGAAGGAGGAATTGGGATAACAAAGATAGTGATGGGGATAAAAATAGTAACAAGGATAGAATCTGACCACCTACCAGTAATTTTCGAGTTGGGTAAAAATGGAAAAAGGGAGGAGGAAGGGGAAGGGGAGACTAGAGAAAGACTTATATGGAAGAAGATAAGACAGAGGAATATGAGGTTGCAATGGCGAAAAAATGGAGGATAGAAGAACTGAGGGGCAAATCACCGCAGGAGAAATGGAATAATTTGGTAATGAATATAAAAGTATCAGCTGATAAATTGAAAATGAAAGGTAGCGGAAGGGTGGGTGGGAGATTGAGTAGAAACAAGGATGGGGAAATAAGGATGCAAAAAAAGAAAGTACGGGAAGAGTTGAATGCATGGAGAGCAGACAGAACGGTAGAAAAGAGAGAGTTATGGAAAAGAGGGAAAAACAAACTAAAAGAAATGATAACGAGAAAAATAAGAAAGGAAAACGAAAAAAAGATCGAAATCATGGCAGCGAGCAGAGACATGGGAGAATTTTGGAGGATAGTAAATAAAGAAAGGCCGAGGAAAAGCAGGAAAGGGGAAACATTCAAAAAGGAGTATTGGGCCGCACATTTTAAGAATTTACTAGGAGCAACAGAGGAAGGGAGGAGGATCCCCAACAAGGAGGGAAACATGAACGGTAGGGGAAGCGAGATTGAGAGAGGAAGCGCGAACCACGAGGGAGAAAGTAAGGAGAGGATAGAAGAGGGGGCGGGGGAGGAGGACAGATTAAACAAGAGGATAAGCGAGAAAGAACTTAGGGATGCCTTGAAACAAATGAAAAACGGAAAAGCAGCGGCTCAGAACGAACTCCCCATTGAATTCATAAAGGGACTACCGGATAATTGGATAGAAACAATAATAGAAATTTTTAATGAATTATGGGACAGGAGCGAGATTTTGGAGGGATGGGAAATAGCAAGAATTTACCCAATATTCAACAACGATGAGGAGGAGGAGGCTAGAAATTATAGGGGGGTATCACTACTAGATGTGAGCTATAAACTAATGGCGAAAATAATGGCCAAAAGAATCAGTGATTGGGCAGAGAACAATAAGGTATTTAGGGAAAGTCAAGCAGGATTTAGAGGAAAAAGAGGGACGAGGGAGCACATTTTTGTATTGAACTCGATTATAGGCAATAAACTAAAAAGGAAAGGAGGGAAATTGTACTTAGGATTCATTGATTTCAAAAACGGATTCGACAGGATAGACAGAGATAAAATGTTGGAAAAACTAAAAAAGAAGGGGATAAAGGGGAAAATGTTGCAAATGATAAAAACAATTTACAAATCAACAAGGAATGAAGTAATAACTAGTGAGGGATTAACAGAGAGTTTTGAGACAAATAAGGGAGTAAAACAGGGGTGCCCATTAAGTCCTAACTTATTTTGTTTGTTCATGGATGATATGAATGACATTTGGAAAAAGAAAGAAATAGGAGGAGCGGTAGTGGGAGGGAAAAAATTCTATTGCTCAAAGTTCGCGGACGATATTGTAATCGTGGCGGATAACGAGGAAGGAATGAGAGAAATGTTAAAAGAAACGGAAATTTACAGTGAGAGAATAGGAATGGAAGTTAATATAGAGAAAACTAAGATAATGATTTGTTGTGAAGGAAAAATAGGTAAAGAGAAAATCTTTTTATACAAAGGTAGAAAGGTGGAGGTAGTTAGGGAATTCAAATACTTGGGGTACTAGTTTACTCAAAAAAATGTAAACACGACACAGATAAATAAAATAACAGAGAAAGCAAGTAGAGCAATCAATGTGGCGTGGGGTATTTTAAAAAGGGCAAAAATAGAAAACTTAAGGAAAAGGCTGTATCTGATGGATAGTATAATAAAAGCGGGATGTTTATATGGAGTAGAGATTTGGGGGTGGCAGAAATGGGAAAATCTAGAGAAGGTGCAAAGAAAGTTTATAAAAATGGCCATGGGATTAAATATTAATACGCCAAATTATATAGTTGCTATGGAAGCAGGTAGGGAGACGATGGAGTTACAGACAGCTAGGAGGGCAATGGAGTATTTAGTTGAGATAGAAAAAATGGAAGAAGGGAGATGGACAAAAATCTGTTTAAGACAGGAAGTAAGGAACATATTAAATAAGAACCCGACAAAATGGGGAAAGACGGTGCTAACACTGCTGGAAGGGGTAGGGGATGGGGAAACCTTAAAAATGATATGGGACAAAAAAGAAGTAGAAAAAATAAAGGATAAATTAGAGAGTGGGTTAGAAAGAAAAGCGGAACAAGAATTACAAAGCTTGTGGGGCAAAATAGACGCGTCAACGTATAATGGACTTTATAAAAAAATAAAAGAGACAGTGGGGGAAGAGGCTTATTGGAGGGACAGGACGACTCCGGGATGGATAAAAGAACAATGGGGGAGAATAAGATGTGGAAACATAGGCAGAGAACGGGCGAAAGGGTTTAAAGAAAGTGAGTGCAGATTATGTGGAAGGATAGAAGAGAGTTTGGAACATATGCTAGAATGTAGGAGTGCAAAAAAGGTTATAGGGGGTAAATGGGTAAGAGAGCTTGAGGAACAGGAAATTACTCGAGAGGAAAGGATAAAAAGCAATAAATTGATTGAAATGTTAAAAGGGAGTCCGAATAGAGCAATCTGTAACTATATATTCATTTTCGAAAAATTGGCCAAATCGAGGAGGGATAGTGAGCACCCCGAATAAGAGCATAGGGAGTAGGGTATAGAGCAAATAAGAGAGAGACAAGATATACATGTGCAAATATTTATATTGTTAATGCGAATTTTTGTTCCTTGTGAATTTTTATTGTAGCGAAGCGATTATGCGAAGATAGTGTTTGAATATAAGAAATAATGTAAAAGGAAATTTTGTAGAAGGCTGTGAAAGCTATACACGAATAATAAAAAATACTACTACTTATAGTTTACAGTAGAGCATTCGTTTTGATACATGGTTCTATGTATTTTTATTATTAAAAAAAATGTTTTGAATATATTTGTTATAATTCCCATAGATTCTAATAACAATTTCACTCGACCCACTAAAGAAGAATTATAGCGTAATTAATTATGTAACATATGCTGTGTAGATATAAACTAATCTTAATCACTTCTAATTTGTATTATAAATACTCAAAACAAAATTATTTTTTATGTTTAATGTATTCTTTTTTTCAAACAAAAATAATTATTTATGAAAGAAATGTTGATGAATTCATCATAAATATAAGTATTTAGTATTAAGTACCGACATTAAATATTAAAACAATGAATTCATCAATAAATTCTCTTATATTCGTACTTGTTAAAAAATACATTAACAGTTAAAAATTATTTTTTGCAGTAGATTTATGAGAAATACTAAACGCAATACTTATCTTTAAATCATATTACATACATCATATACCGAATGAATCCGAAAAATAATTAAGGTACAAGAGGAACTTACAATTTATAATTGAGAATATAATTTATTATAAATATACTATAAATATATTGTAAATATCTAACATTATAAATATTACAGATATATAAAATATAATTTATATTCTTAATAATATTCATTAAAACAATTGTTTTGTCTTGAAAGGTTCACCTCTGAAATGCCATAGGTGGCATTCCAGCAATTTTTTTTTAAAGGAATTGAAAGGAAATAATT